GCCCGTCCACGTCCCGGCCACGGCCCGGATATGTGTGGATAGACCTTTAGAGATATATAAAACCATAACCCATTTTTATAATATTGAAATTGTTTATTGATATTTCAGCCTCGTTAGGGTAAGTTCCGATAAGGCGAACACGTTAACTAATTTAAAATGTTTTTAAAAGAGAATTTTGTCCTTTTTTTTTGTTATTTAAAACGGTTATTTGACCATTTGTCACTTAGCCGGGTTTTAATTCATGGACGGCAAAATTCTACTCATTTGTTTTCAGGATTTTATATTATCGGACAAATTACAGCCTATCGTGTAATAAATTAGAACATTCTTTAAGCAAAATCCGTAGGTATATCGTATACGTTTTGTATATGATTTAGCAAAACAGTTTTTCCCGCTTTTCCTCCGGTGCCTCTCCTTAGTATCAACCAAGTGTCGGTTGGCATAGAGCGGTGGTAGCCCAGTCAGAATACCGGTATTTAGCAGTGTACTTGATCTATATATTTTTCTCTTTTTTGTACTATGTTTACCATTTACGAAATAACAAACGTTGCAGTGACCTTTCTGTTACAAAGTTGTGCTTCTCCACCCTCACAACCTGGAAATAGATATATCTATTTTTGCGTTGCTTACAACGAAACCACACCGTAATTTCCAACCCCATACGTACACTCTCCAGAAACAAAACAAGTGCCTGGGCACTTATTTTGTTTCTGGAGAGGTCAATAATTTACTGGCATACAATTATTGTTTGTATTTTTGTGGTGTATGTTTGGAGGCTCGTATATAAGAGTTGTGGCCATTCAATTCGGTCTGTACCACACCATATCCATTTTAATTAATAATAATTAGTTGTGCACAACCGAATTTCAACTAAATTCTTTTACTATAGGTAAGTGTAGTGTAGTTATAATTATACCTTACTTATACGTACTTTGTGATCATCTTCAAAGGAGACGAGGTACTCAATTCGACTGTATTTTTTTTCCACCTGTTTATTTACTGCCTTGTGCTAAGAGGCATAGAATAGCATGGAAAAAAATGCGGTACAACTATTTTAATATATATTCAGTATTTGTTTTTAGGTGATTACAATTATTATAATCCTAGTTCGTAGAGACCACCTTGGTCTCGCGCCAATCATTCGAGATAGGTCGTAAGAACACCTGGAGCGACTTCTTTCAAACGCCCAACGCAGATACAGGGGAGTTATCAGTTTGAAGCCTTCTGGATGCGTGGGTCTGTCTGTCTTTTGCGTCGTAGCTCCCAAACGGCTGAACTGATCCTAAATTTGCTTTTTATTAAAAGGCTAATTTAATCGGGATGGTTTTAAGCTGTGTTTGATGAATATCTATTTAACTGTTTCTCAGCTCCCTACATATCGACCCGAGACATAGAAAGTTCCGGGGAGACTACGGGCTGCCCGGTAAGACCAGGGTACGGCGGGCATCCGGGCCAAGCCTTCCGATAGTGGGGCCCCTTCACAGGTAAATCTGGTGGACCTGGGTTTGGGTATGGACTTGCCGGGGTTTGTGGTTAGCGGTAGGGATGAACAAGTTCGTCTGCCCCGGTAGCATGTGGCCGGGGTGCTCATCCCGCGTGCACCTAGCGCGTCTTAGTAGCGGTCTAGACGAGGGCTTAACCCTTACGAGAAGAGGCGCGGGACACGTGAGTAGCCCTTTAAGTCGGAAGCTATGTCCGGACATTGCTGCAGGACACTGCGACTGGCATACCCGGCACTAGCCCGCAGAGCTAGTAGAGGATGAGCTGGATAACCTCCGGTCCCTCCAGCCCCTTAGGTTATTGGGAACTGGAGAGATGCTTCGGCATCGGGAGGTGAGCGTACCTACAGCTCCGCCATCAAAGAGGAGATTTGGTAGTGGACTTTAGAGTCAACGGCTTAGCGGTGGCAACGTTAATTGCGCAATGCGCAACGAGAAATGAGCGTTACTACGACTCCGGTATCTATCTGGAATATAGGGACTGTACGTGCACTCGGGACAGCTCACCCAAGACTTGAGAACCGGATGAAGTCTGCGCAAGCGGGCTGATCTGGGATAAGGACCTGACTAAGAAGGTCCCTGTGCGGGCTTGCTTGCACAGGTTATAGTACCCTTCCCGTATAACTAAGAGATTGATAGGGTGGGTAACTATAAACAAGCAGCAGAACAAACATCTTTGGCTCATTGAATTTGGTGTTGACGAGAAGTTGACTTACAGATGGTGACTTTTTAGAGTACACTAGTTTTGTATCGGGGGTTTTTCAAATTTAATTAATTGTTACAGCAAACTTTTTGCCGTAGAAAATATCCTCTTACTTCTTTTGCTAGGTATATCTGAAAACTTTATACAACTCGTGTTTTTAGCAACGACAGGCTGTTTCATCAGAAAGTTACATTAAAAGCAGATGGTCGATAAATACCTACTATAACTCGATCTTATTAAAGAAATATACTAATTCATCTAATACTTACTAACACTGGATATTAACAGTAAATATATTACAAGACTAAAATTAAATATTTCTGTAAAAAAAGACTTGAAGTAAATAGAATATAATAGCAACAGATTTAACAGTGTTGTAACAAGTACATGAGTCAACTGACTCAAAACAGTAGAGAACAGAACACACGTGCAACCAATTTTCTTTTCATCTAACAAACATCATCCACTACAGTACAATTCCTCCAAATATAACAGTTTTGTAGAGCTTGATAGAATTCCACTATCAAGTTAACTCGTAGAGAACTTTGACCTAACATGGGATATACGGGTATAGCATAATTTTTTATCATATAGCTAACACATTTTTCAGCGTCTGTGGGAAGATAAAGGGGATATATCTGCTTCAATGTAATATTAAGAGAATTTTTAAGTTTTCCGGTTATAAATACGTCATCTACCGGTAAAAACGCATGACAAACGGCCGTCTTTGCAATTCTATAAGCTGTTTCTGGGGTTGTTATGTAGTAACCTCCACTTAGATATGAAGGATAAAAACGATGTATAAACTCAATTGGGGATACATAAAATTTACCATGCCTATGAGGTCGTCCTTTCTGCATTATATATCCCAATAGAAAACTATCTCTATCTGTTAAATTAACATTCCATTTGAAAAGTAATGCGTATGTTGCATACAAGTTAAAAACTGCGTCATCATCAACTTTTAAAATGAAGGCTGCGTTCCGGCATCTAGAAGAAGCCCAATCCAATCCCATCAGGTTTTTGCGTGTTAGATTTCTGTAGTGATCCAAAAAGGATCCCTGGAGGATGTCTCCAGATGTTTTGTTCTCCTCCTCAATTGTTTCTTGAGGGATTGAACTGCAAGATAACAATCATTCGTAAGTATTTAATAAGTTTTAGTCATGATGTGTACGGATTAGTCGACACAGGATGTGCATCTATATAACCTGTTGGATTGGTTTTGTTATTTATATGGGTATCATCAAATCCCACAGGAGATCGTATCACGGGATTGAAATGGACGGAGGAAAATTATCTAAGTAGTTATTTTAGGGAACAGATAGCAGGGTTGCTATCATATTGTATTAATATTTCAGCCAAGTTGTTGACTACCAGACATTGCTTCTACTGAGCAATCTATTGACATAGTTCAGTTTACTGGCATTAATCAATCTCTTGAAAACAATTCAATTTCCAATTATTTCAATTTTAAGACAACGAGGAGAACTCTGACAACCCAGTAACAGTAAAAAGCCTTCCTAAAACCATATAAATAAAATAAATTGTATATAAAACTACCAAAATATTAAAGCCATAAAAGGTAAAGAGTTAGAAATTTAACAATTCATGAACTTTACGTAATAAATATAGTTATTTTATTCTTTGTATTACTGAGTACCACTTCAGTCATCATGTTTAGCTTCAACAATCACCGGGAGGCTAATTCGTTCAGCAGAGAAAAAGCTACTCATAGCAGCTCTTTAAAGAACGTATACAGATATTATGAGCCTATCTGTTGAGCGGACTATAGATATATCCTGCATAGAGCTTGAACGGCTTGATACATTAAGCGTATATAGAACCCCAGTTTATCTTTACGAATTGTTTGAAAGAGTATTAGACTAAATAATAAATATATTGCTATTGGTGGTGGTGGTGGTTCAATGTTAATTTATTAGAAGACTGCAATCTAAGACACTACTTAGACTACAGTCTTCTAATAAATTAATGTTCATAACATTTTTCCAATGTTATAATCTTGTGAATCTTTTTTTGGTGCCTACTAGAATAACTTCTACTACAGCGTGTTTAGATAACATTTACGTCGTACCTTGTATTAATCTAAATTAAGGTCAATTGATCACTTTTGCTCAAAGGGCTTATGTCCAGCAACATATGCGTGTAATCTTATGTTGGTGACCACTTTTAGTATAACAGTAGATAAAATGCCAAAAAAGATATCACGTGTTCCCATAAATAATGGTCGACTTATAAGCTTCTAGAAATAATGTAATGGGTAACTAACTAACATTCTGTACTGTGACGATCCCAGTAACTTGTATAATTGAGTTTACAACATAGTGAAAGCTGAATATATATATGAGTAATAATGCTTTTAATTCTAAAATCAGAACCATTTACAATTAATTGAAATTTGGTGATTGGGTAACAGTGGGTACTCATAAAAATAAAAGACTATGAATTTTATGATGAAGGGACCTATAACACTAGTGACTGTTTCAGTAATTAACCATATAATAAAAAAAAACCAGTGCGGATGTAGTAAAGACGACTTGGAATATTATAAACAGCAAAACTAGAAGGTCACACCTCGCAACTTAGATTCTATTAAGATTTGATGACAAAATTGTAAACTCTGACTCTAAAGTTCTAAAATATTTGAAATTTTTTTATTGATTTTCCAATTTCGATTACTAAGTGAAATTCGTTTACTAAGTCAAATTTCACCGTCCCTGCATCCTTACTAAAAAAATGTTACAGTTAATTTAAGGTTCCGTCACGTATTTCCAAACGACATTATTACAACCTTTAAATCGATATACATTACATACTGCTGATCTTGATGGTCTTTCCGTCAAAGTAATTAATTCTATAGTTGATTGTATTGCGCCTTACTTAGCATGTGTTTTAACGAATGTGTTATGATAGTGTGTTTCCTGACCTCACAAAGAAAAGCAAAAGTTATTCCACTTTTTAAATCAGGTAGTAATTCATACGCCATCATTCAAGACCTATTCCAATATTCGAAAAAAAAAAACATCTAAATCATTGGTGTGTAGGGGAAAGGTGTACCAGATGATCCCCTTAAGGGACGATGCTGGTAGTTTAAAAGATATTCAGCTTAAAGCAGATGTAAAAGCTTTGAATGATAGAAAATTTCTCTATTTACATGTTGTCTTACTAAAAACGTTTTATTTTTTGACCTTTTTATTTTAATATTTTTAAAACCCTACTAAAGGATTGTCTTGGACACCGGGGTGTCCAATCCTGAGGGCAAGATGATCCAGGGAATCACCATGCCTCTATTTAGAAAGAAATTCTAGGCTTTGGTAGAAACAAATGAAAACAACAACTTTTTAGACTTAACAAAGTCCTCACTTATGTAATCTAGATTAGATGAATCAACTGTTTCCTAACTTTGAGAACAAATAATCCTAACTAATTTATATCTTACAGGGCCCTAAGGGTGAAATCGGACGTGTATTACCGCACTAATTAGATCCGAAAGGTTTATTGGGAAGGTTTCGTGCTTTCTCGTAGCTTTTGACCTATATGATAAATAAGTGGAGTTTAGCGCATGGACACAGCGAAATACCTAAATGATAAATATGTACAAATGTCTATTTATAAAGAGCAACCCCTAGTTTCTGACTCATTATTCACAGGGGAATTTGTCTTACTAATGGGTCTTACTAAATTTTAATCAATATGACGATTTCGAGTGTAATTTGCTTACCTATGGAATAAAAGTTATTTGACTCGACCTTCACTTTGACTTTCTACATTAGGTAATTGATCAATAAAATGGTTTACAAACGTCAGTCCTATCTGGCGTGTGTTGCACAGATTTTAAGACATAATGGTATGAAATACAAACTTGTTCTGTTCATGACGTATAGCTGCCAACAGGAACACTCTAACAGCATTGAAGTTAATGAGCATATCGTTAGGTATTGCCCTCCGATGGGCACTTCTTAACTCCACATGATCCACTGATGAGGTAACTAAAATCACTAAGAATGGCTTTTCTGAAAATAAAAAAGGATAGTTTCAGTGAAGAGCACGCTTGACCGGATCTTGTTTGAAAGTTTTTAGACTTGAATTATTGAGGCTTTATTCTTTAGTTTTTTTTAATTAGGTACGCGTAAAATAAACGAATTTTTGTACTGCTCTCGCACAACAAATTGATGCATCTCACGACGCGTCTGGCTGTTTACAGAGATTACTTTTATTTTAAGTATATTATGAAGAAAATACGAAGAAAGAACTAGTGATGAAGACAATTTGAAAAGACAATTTGACAACTCAAACATGAGAATTATTACCAATTTAATAGAAAGTGAAAACATAATGTATTAGAACCACAATTACAATGGAAAATATTTAATGAAGATCCCGACAATTAAACGAAGACATGGCTCAAAGGACTTGTATTCAAGCCAAAACTCTTAACAAATAAAAATGAATAAAATATTGTGATCTCCGATTTGCAAAGAGCATTGCTTAAATAGGGGAATTTGTCTTGCCGATTTGTCTTAGAGACTGCGACTAGACTGCCGAGTAGAGTTGGGTTTTATTCCACAAACCACATTTCAAATTATAATTATATGACAGGGGCATAATACTCACGGTCACATATACTAGGTGATGGCTCAATTAAATAGTTCTTTGTAAAATAAAAAAGATGAAACGCCTTTCTAACGGTATCCAGGTCCATCCATTGAATGTCGTTTTTACGATAACACAACTGCGTATAAATATGATATATCCAAATAATTGAAGCGATTAATGCCAAATACATAAGTAATGTTTTATTTTTATAGATTTTAAACATCTTATAGATTTTACATTCAAAATCCACGCAAAAAATTTAAGCATGCTCTGTATATGACCAAAATAGTGTAGGTATTAAAATAAAATTTTTATTTGCATTATTCTATAAATAAAAATGTCACATGTTTACGCTGATACGAGAATATGAAATACTAATAGGTAGAACTACAATTATCCGAATCCAATTTCTTTATAATGGCTCCATCGATATCCACGATGATTCTGATAGTGTCAGCGTTAAAAATTACTACGTGTGGTAGACACTTTCGTAAAAATAATATACATATAAAAATTATGGCGAACGTCGCCAACAATGTCCAGATTGAGAAAAACATTAAATCGTTTTTCTTTTTTCTTGGCTTTTCGCGGTAAGCGTTTCAGCCATCAGTTTTCACACGGAGTAAGTAACTTAAAAAAATATGATGAAACGGGTTAAGAAAGGTGGATAAAGAGTGTAAAAAGGGAACTAAAATAGACAATCAGTATAAAATAGGATAAAAATTATACAGGGTACCTATGCTCATACAATTATAACTTTTTTTATAAAAAAACCGACCTCAAAGGTTTCTTGAATTACATCTGTTTGTCAAGTTTTATGGAAATCGGTTAACAGAGAGTGGAATGCAATAAACCGGATTCATCCCGTAGTTTATCACCCTTAAAGGTGAAATATTATCTTCAAATTTCAATGGACCGATACAACAGATAATCTGTACAAGAAATTGAGAGAAATTAATGTAGGGCAAATATAACAGCAAATTGTTTGCCCGGGAACGAACCCGGGACCTCTGCGTGGCAGACCAACATGGTTTAACCATTCGGACACGGAGGCAATACTTGTTGCACAAATTTGGGAGCCATCATAGATATAGAAAAAACGGGAGCCATGATAAGGCAGACAGACACACACATCTACATTTATTTCTCTCGTGAGTTTGGGTGTAATGTGTGTATCGATGGTACCCGCGATACAGGCTCCCTAGTGCGGGGTTATGAGTGTAAGAGTTAAAAAAAAGACTAACTGGAATGTCGAAGCGCCAGTCTTTCTCATTTTTCTTTTTCATATTTGTGCGCTTAAAATTTTACAATTGATTAGGTAATATCCGCTTCTTGCTCGTGGACCACCCGGCTGGTTCACCTGGGTGGACCACGGGCAATTATTTCTTCCTGTCGTTCACTTCTTACGTATAAAATAGAAATACACAAAACTTATATTGGTTGTGGTCCATCTCAAACATTAACAGTTTGGCCAGCATCTATTACGATATTTATCGTTTAAAAACAAGTTAGTCAATACGCTTTTTAAGTGGCTAAAACGCTTACCGCGCAAAGCCAAGAGACATATCTTGCAGTTTCATACACAGAAAGTAATTTTTACACTAAATCCTTTAGGCGGTTTTTTAAATATTTTTTCATTTCAGTTTTATTCTTCATTAGACTGGAGGCGTCATCGATAGGCAATCCCACAGAACACTATACTATACAAGGAGCAATCCCCTCTGTCAAGGTACAAGCACAAAACAACTATCGCACAATAAACACTACTTTCAAATCAATGTTTTTTCATTTCCATTATCGAATTCACCGCGTCAAGTACTCCACGAAACATGTCGTCTTGCGCTATACAAACTTGCAAAAAAATCTCTGCTGCATCCAGTCTAGCCAATGGTGGAATTACATTCCATACATAAGCCTATTTTTTACATTAATTGTCAATTTTCTATTATGGCACTTTTATTCACAATTATCACATTGATTCAATTTATCGATAACATAAAAAATATTTGAAAACATTCGTACATTTGACATAAGCATGCCTATCCCTATATTTACTAACAGGCAACTATCGACAAAAAATTCAATACTTTTTGCAACCAAAATCCCCTGAAAGCGTAACGTTTTTGTTATAAATCGGTTTTCGAGATCATGAAACTTCGAGTTTACGTCTAGTTGGAATCTAGAAATTCGAAACATCGATACATGTCTCACAGCACGTTATAACTACGAACAGAGAGACACAGCTATTTTCACATTTACAATATTTGTATGTACATTTCTGCACAACTCTTATGACTTGAAGTGAATTCATATAAAATTCAACAAATACTATAAAATTAATTAATATTGACATTAAGACTACTCCATCACTCCTGTGTTCAAGTGTTTTTCACCAGAAACTAAATATGGTGCATTTTGTTATTTCCAGTAGAAGCTGAATATGGATAATTTTTGGGCCTTTAAATTGTGGCAAACAAAATTAAGCAATACTGCAAAGACTTTACAGTTTAAATTAACTGTTTTAGTTTTTTTAATATTTCTATACATGTACCTACGTTTGTAGAGGTTAACTCCGGCCATGCTTGTCATTGGCTCCAACGCTGACAGCGAAAAGCCATAAACTGAAAAAAATCTCCGGACATATTTTCGAAGAATTAATGGGGCAAGCATAATCAAATCGTTTCCACGGCGGTTAATGCATTTAGCATTAGCGTGATCTAAACTGAGTCACAGTTCACTCTGAACATATTGAACATTTTTCGGAGTTTTTGTAAAACTTGACAATGTGGCCAAATCGTAGAACATCGGTCCTTTCGTTTTTTTTTCAAATTTTTATTTGTGATGGCATATTTGCCATCACAGGTGTAGAAAATGCGGGGTAGTAACATCTATAGTGTTATTATCCAAAAATACTATTTAAAAAAACGCGCCTTTCTCGTTCTAATATCCCGTCTCTTTTTTAGCAAATGGAATGAGAGTTGTCAAACGCAACTTAAATTTCATTCCGTAGTTTGCTACCTTCAGAGGTGGAATATTTACTTGAAATTTAAGAGGATGGCCTCTTTTACCCTTTCCAACAAAAAAATCATCACAAATTATCGGAGTTATCGCGTAACATACCTTCATACAAAAAAATACGAATTGAAAACCTCTTCCTTTTTTTTTAAGTCAATTAAAATACAATTTTTAAGTATCGTCACATAATATCCGAAACATTACATTACTGTTTTTTCGGTGCAATATCTTCCGATTTTTTCAGATTTGACCTGGCAACTCTGATTACTAGCCACATTAATGAAGAGCTGTACAGGCCCTAAATAAGATACCCTAATAATATTAACATCGTGATTCTACACTAGATTATTATACTATTTAGTTTTTATTTATTTTCTTTTAAACTCCCGACGTAACAACAAGGAAGTTGTAAGTTCCTATTGGACCCAATAATGGAACGAAGAGTGAAACGTAGAAGGGTTTGCAGCCTGTATCTCTGTGTCTGTTTTTCTTTCCGTGCCATCTGAACCGAAATTGTCTTTTTTATTTGAAGGCTTATTTAATCGGGATGGTTCTTGTCTTGTCTTGTGTGTGTTTGATGAATATCTGTTCAGCTTATCATCAGCCTATCGCCCGAGCCTCAGGTCGTCGCATCCATCTGCTGCCAGCAGCAGAGTCGTGGTCTCCACTCAAGAACTCGCTTCTCCCATCGGTTGTCGATTCTTCGACAGATATAGCCAGCCCACTGCCACTTCAGCTTGCTTATTCTACCAGCTATGTCGACAACTTTGATTTTGTCGGTTTTTATCTGTGGTTTTAATCGCGCAGCCTTAGCCTAAAGCATATTCAAAAATATGTATATATATGTCCGACATATATATGTATATATATGTCGGAGGAAAAGCGCCTAAAATATGCACTTGTTGGGTCGCCACGCTTGGACTTCCCTCATGGTGCTCCATTTGTTTCATGAACTGACTATATTAATGTCACAAAATATACCGATTGGAAATTCCACTGTTATCGCATAATTGCTGGCGATTATCACGTTATTTTAAGTAAATTAATTTATGATTCTTAACACAGTTATCTATAATATACATTCAATCTTAGTTAACTCCCCCACTGCAGACAGTCGGGCGGGCGGCGACAAAGAGCAAACAATTCGCTGTCACTTTTATCATTAGTAACGAAGTTGTTATCAAGGTCCGCCCACGAACGCAGGCGCAGCGTAGGATGCTCAGTCGAGAGTAGACTCCGCAGCACGCGACGCGCGCGCACAAATTATACCTTAATTTGCAATGAGAAAATACGGAAACATGTCACCAAAAGTAACTTATGACGACGACTCGTCACATGTTTTAAGAGCTAAAATAATTACAATGGTGAGCCTGTTCACTATTTCTATGGTGGTCGGGTGTTTACCCTTACTTTTATCCTTGAAATTTGATTGGTTCACCAAATCCGACGGGTCAATGCGGTCTACAAACCGTTTCGTGATGGGACTCCTTGCTTTCGGTGGCGGTGTCCTTTTCGCTACTACATTCATGCATTTGCTCCCCGAAGTCGATGAAAATATCAAGATATTAGAAGGTAAGTAGTGTCCTTTAATGTTTGTTACTACTGTACGAGTTTATAGAAAGTTCAAGGAGGTTTGCTTACGCACCGATCGTCATTGAACAACGTCGACAACATTTGTCCTTCTTACTTTCTTTGTTTTCAATGTTACATAAAATGTAAACTAGGTGGTTGTAGTTATAATGAACGGATGACGAATAGTGATACCTAAAACTGGGAAATGGGCATCAGTGCCACCCATTTATTTATTATTATAGATAGCTTAACTACAAACTTTAGATTACGGGCATTGTCAACTTTTATTAAATTTGTACGAACTTCATAAAAAAATCTTATAATTTCACATTGACCGTTTATCTTTCTGGTCGCCCATTTGTTTTACAAGCCAAGTTATTAAAAAAATACTTGGTCTCATATTTAGCACCGCTAATATCAACAGTGTTGGCATAAAACAGTGGTAACCCAGTGAGAAGACCCGTGCCCGACATTGGGTCGTGTTATTGGGTTTATAATAATGATGACGGGAACAAAGTTGTAAAATATACTTGATCCATCGGTAATTTTAGGATTAGCATTCACTGTCTATTTTCGGTATCAATTTTTATTATTTAAGTATTAGACTAGGTACCTACATTATTATGAAGTATAGTTTAATATTCGAGTATTATTTTAAAATTAAAATTATTTAAATCTCGCGATTACATACATTAATGTGTAATGTTTGTCGTATAATCGAATACATAAATGATAAAAATTGTTACGGAAATTGAAAGAGAGCACGTGGAGAGTACTAACCCGGGAATGACCGCTGTATTTTTATTTACTTTTTGCGTTATGTTGACACCATTTTATTTCACGGCCTCCGTGGTCGAGTGGCTTGCACACCGGTTTTCATGGTGTCACCATCTCTGAGGTCCCGGGTATCGATCCCCTGCCTGGTCAGTGTATAAACTTTTCTATATTGTGTCGGGTCTGGGTGTACGTGGTACCATCGTTGTTTCCGATTTCCATAAAACAAGTGCTTTAGTTACTTACTTTGGGATCAGAGCAACGTATGTGATGTTGTCTAATATTTAGCGTTAAGCGTTACCGAGGCATTTCCGTTAAGTTGCGTGTATCCACCCTGACAACCTTCATTATAATTTAAGAAATCGGAATTACACCTAATTCACGAGCTTGGTAGAAGCATTTTGAGTTGCTTAGAACGAAACCGCATCGTGATTTCCTACGTATACGGACATTGCCTAGAGCTATCATTTATTTTTGGAGAGGTCATTATTTTATCGGTGTATTTTTGGAGGTTCGTATGGATTAATTATCGACATTTAATTTCGTATTCTACGTCTATTTTATTATAAGTAATACACACCCTACGTAATTCTTCTACAATGTGTAGTCATAATTATAACTACTTTTTATTCAGTTTAGTCTTGGTTCTTACCTAAAGGCCCATTTAGGTGGAGAGAGTTTCTCGTCTCGAAGATACGATTATCGAAAGGATATAAAAAACTTTCCTCGTCTAAAAATTATCGCCCTTCCACGTGAGCGATAATCGCCTCGCCTTTCAATATTGAACGTCTCCGTGTAAACAGAACTTGAAAAATCGTATTTCGAGTTTTTGTGCCAGCTGTTACTACCATGAGTACAGTGCGCGAGGGTGTTTTGATTATCACTGCTTATCTAAGACAAGAATTAATGAAACGAAAACGAAAAAAAAATTTGGACTAAGATATGTTATAAAATTTGAAAAAAATATATATATATTTCTATACAGTGCAATTGCATCTTAATATTATCAGCAGTTCCAAATTTGAATGATTTTTGCGTCAT